GGGACTAATGATGGGTTCAAGGATTTCATCCTGATACCTAGTGGCAGTCGGGGTGCCATTATCTAGCCTGTAGAGGTCTGTGCGTCCCTCCATGGATATCCCACCAAAACAGTCATGCTCAACAATGTTACAGGCAGTATAACGTTCTCCACGGCTTCTCCAGACCCTTTCACGTCTGTCACGTGTGCTCTGGGTGAACCTGCTCTCATCTGTGAAAAGCACAGGGCAATGGCAGACCTGCCAATTCTGGTGTTCAATGGCAAATGCCAATCAAGCTCTATAGTACCTGGCAGTGAGCACAGGGCCCACTAGAAGACGTCGGGCCCTCAGGCCACCCTCATGAAGTCTGTTTCTGATTGTTTGGTCAGAGACATTCACACCAGTGGCCTGCTGGAGGTCATTTTGTAGAGCTTTGGCAGTGCTCATCCTGTTCCTCCTTGCACAAAGGAGCAGATACCGGTCCTGCTGATGGGTTAAGGACCTTCTATGGCCCTGTCCACCTCTGCTACTTAACTGACCAGATCAATATCCCAGGAGTTTCATTGACTTGATGCTATACTCTGATTAAAAAGCGTTCCTTTAATTTTTTTTGAGCGGTGTGTGTATATTAAAGTGCCAATGTTCCCCCGTGCTCATATGCGAATGCGCACTAAGGTACCGCACATATATGTAAACTGTGATCACAACACACATTTAAGGTTTTGCCGTGAACGTCACAGTGAGAGCAAGAATTACAGTGCCAGACGTATGTAACCCACCAAACTGGTAACCTACAAAGGCTTTTAAAGCGTCGCATATGGAGATTTTTAGGTACCGTAGTTTTGTGCCGTTCCACAGGCGTACGCAATTTTAAAGCGTGAAATCTTAGGTGTCTATTTACTTGGCATAGCATCATGTTTTATGTTTTACCTAACATTGGGTATTCTATTGCGTTTGTGTGCACTAGAAATTCATTAGAGTGTATTTTTTCCTGAAAATTTGCATTTGATAAACCGCTGTGCAATTATCTGAGCAGAAATTGCATTGTGGAAATGTTTCCCAACTCTAGATTTCAGGTTTTTACCTTTGATGAACCCCTGGCAAAAAGCCTGATATCTTGGAGAACCCCTGAAATCCTTTTTGTATGTACAGCTCACGGAACATTGATGTAATCAGCGAGCTGTATATATAACAATTATTCTTATTGCATTAAATAATTGGATAAATATTTACTTGCCCCCTTAGAGTTCTAGGCCTCCCCCCAAAAAAGTCAGCAGGACAATATAAGGACACTTACCTGTCCCGGGCTCCAGCACCATCGTCATCTGGGCTAGTTCCTCACTAGCCTCCAGGTTCAGCTTAGCAAGTAAGGGAAACGGGAAGCAAAGCATTGCAGCATTACAGCTGGTTTCCCACTGTGCCTTGTGATCGGTCCCATAGTTTTCTGGGACCTGTGAAGTGTCCCAGAAGACTGCAGAGGGAAGAAGGGGGGCCACAGTTGACTGAGCTGGAAGGAGGAGTGGGTACCTGTCAAAACCAGGTTACCCCCCCCCCCCACCCCCCCAAAAAAAAGTGTCATGTGGCAGTGGAGGGTGCAAATAAGCACAGTTTCCCCTTCTGGGTGGAGCTCCGCTGTAATGTGAAACTCATGTTTTTTTTTTTTTTTTTTTTTTTGCACAAGTGCTCAATTCTGGGTCAAACTTGAGATTAGCAGTGTACAGGAGATCAGCAGGGCATAGTGCAGGAGATCCAGGAGGGAACAGTATAGGGGAGCCAGGAGAGCACAGTATAGGGGGGCCAGTAGAGCAAAGTACAAGGGGAAATGGTGCTGGAGGGCACAATACCCACCCACCCTCGTCCCTCCCGTGTGATATCACACATAGGCAACTGGGGCAGACAGAAGTAGAGGGCTGGCTGGAATTGGCACAGGACAGTGATGCAAATTGTTTCCCTCTGCGAATCTGCAGCTTCACTGCCAGCTATGTGGAGATGCGGAAGGGCTCTGAAGAAGAGGCAAATCCTCGAAACGCGTCAGCCTATTGGATGTTTACACTCCCTATTGCGGACTGTTACTCAGCGTGGTGTTGACCCAGCTGTTTGTTTATGACGTGCCTTGACTTTATTGTCGTTTTATACACGTACGTGAAACCATCATGTGGTATTGTAAAAGATTTGAGGAAGTGCATAAACATCTTACAGATTCCTTATTAAAACTTTGCACTGCGTGGAAAAAAGTGATCACTTTGTGCTTCAGCACCAGCCCATAAGTATCTGAGCTGTTCTCTGTGGCAAGTTTGGCTTGGCAGATATCCTGTAATTGGCCAATCAGTGATCACATGATTGGGACCTCGCACAGAGGTCCCGTCCGATCGGCGTTCCACTGTGTCCGGAGGACACAGCGGGCACCGGATTGCACACTCCCAGGGAGCGCGCACAAGCAGGGAGCGGGGAGGCCATTTATAAACGGCCAGCCTTCCCTGCACTGCCACCGTCCGGCCGTTTTATATACAATGGCTGGACTGGAGGTAGTTAAGGTTTTCATTTTTTTTCTGGGAAAAAACAAACATTGCTTTGGAAAAAAGGGGGAAAATGTTTTTTTTTTTTTAGATTTTTCCAATTTTTTCCAGGCCTTCCCATTTCTAGTCACAGCACACACCATTTCATAACACCAGCATTGTAATAGCAATGCAAACCATAGGAAATGTGTCTGATTCTTCACAAAGTAAGTTTTCAAAACTTCAAGAATGTTCAGATTGGTAAGAGCAGACTAGAAATAATTGAAATCCATGATTTGATTTTGTATTTTGACCATAGATACTTTGCTCCTATCATCCTGCAGAGAAGGAAATCCTCAGCCTGACCGAATTGAGCTCAAACTTTAACTTTGAGGAGACAATGATCTGTTGAGACAATGATCTCATTCAGGTGAACAACTTCACTGTAATTTCTTACATTTCAATGTCTTGAAGACGTTGATGGTGGCCTTACCATGCACTTTCTCAAACTGACTATTACCACCTGAGCAGTCTTGGTGTTAACCACTTAAGCTCCGGAAGAGTTTACCCCCTTCATAACCAGGACATTTTTTGCTATTCCTCACTACACTACTTTAACTGGCAATTTTGTGGTCATGCAAATGACCCAAATGAAAATTTTACCATTTTTTTCACTTTCGTTTGGTGGTATTTGATCACCACTTGTGTTTTAATTTTTTTTTATAGTATGGACATCTGGCGGTGGCCATTTTACTTTTCCCAGATGTGAGTGCTGTTATTACATGCTACAAAGCGCCCACACCAGTCACTTTAATATTTTCTCTTCAGCACTGCTTTTTTGTATTTTTATATTTATTTAGAGGGTAAGAGGTTTCACCTTTATGCAAGCAGCTAGACAACCAAGCGCTCACTTGTTACCTTTTTATGTATACTATGACATTAGAATTGAATCTCCTGCTGCAGGGGGTTCAGGAAGTTCTACCTTAGGATCTGTGTAGACTAAAACTGTTCAGTCTCATGGGAAGCTGTCAGTTTCCTCCATTCACATTAAACAGTCTGGATGGAGGTGTGGTGATGACTGCAGGGGTGACTCTGCACTGGTAAATTGTATTAACACTCTTCTGTAGTTTTGTAGTACCTGGCATGTCTGTATGGTGTCTCGATACCCTATTTTGCTGACTTTTACTGGAAATATGTTTATGCAACTTTGTTTCTGTACCATGTTGACAGTCATGCTTTTATCTATATATGCATTATACAATAAATCTATACCTGTTAAAAAAAACCAAAAAAAAAACCTTAAAAACAGTCTGGATGGATGGAGGAATCTCCCCTGCAAGCTATTGTATTCTGACATGCCACACCGCTGGCTGTCAAAATAGCTGAGCCTATGACTGGATGCAGCTGCTGTTATGCCAGCAATTTTCTGCCTGGCTTCTTCCATTTTCAGACCAAGCGATGTTAAGCGGGAAGATGCTGAAAAGGGTGCCTACAGTTTGAATTTAATTTGGTTCTTGAAGCAACTTTGAAATTTGCTCTGTATGACCAGCTTAAAGCAGTATTAAACCCAAAACCAAAAATGTATTATATTGAAGCTTACTGGTCATTGGATGTAGTGGCTGCATTAATTTTCTTTTTTAGGTTTTTTTCCCTCTGTTTTCACCTGGTGATCTGGCCAGTAGCACAGCCTCTTGTGTAAGAATACCGCCACTCTGGATGAAGGAGCACAGAGAGCGCCTTTGATCAGCAGCATTGTCAGTTTGGGGGAGAGAGAGGAGTGTTAGATGTACTAGCAGATTTAGATACAATAACAAATTTGATGTCAAACTTCAGATAACACTTCAGTTAAACAAGCAGTTACTGCAACAGTTTTTTGGAATAAAGGTTTACATAAAAGATAGCTGATTATTGTACGCACCCTTTCAGTGTTAGAATGCTTTGTCTCAACCCTCTAACTGCTACATCTGCAGGACAGCTTATGTTGAAAAGCACCAGAATTACTGGCAGGATCACCAGTTGACAATAAAGGAAAAAAGCCTAAGGGTCAATGCACACCAGCTTGAAAATACGCCAGTTTCCCCTGGCAGAAAAAAAAAGCTAATTTTGAGCATTTTTTGAACTTGCGTTTAGGCACATTTAACTTAATTTTTTTGTTTCGAAAACTGCTATCAAATGCAAAAAATAATTTTTTAGTTTTATTATGTCTTAAGACGCTGAGCTTAAAATATCTCCTAGATTGTAGGCTCGAAAGAGCAGGGCCCTCAATCCCCTCATGTTTTGCATTGTATTGGTATTGTTCTGTCACATGTTCTGTCCCCCTTTGTAATGTACAGCGCTGAGCGAACTATTGGTGCTTTATAAATACTGTATAATAATAATAATATGCCTCGAAACGTCCTAAAGTGAATGGACATATAGGATTACATTGAGCTGCTTCTACAGGCAAAATGTAAAACTCCTGAAGGAGCATAAACTCTCTATAGTTTGTTTTTAAATTGTGCTCTGATCACTCTAATCTTTTCCTAGTTAAAGGAATATCAGCAGAAGACTACTCCTCCAGCATCTACAGGCGGCAAGCAAGAAGAAGAAAAAGGGAAAAGATTCGAACAGCCATCCTGATACCCCAAATCGCCTCTCTCCAGATCCAGTAGGTTTCTTTTAATATCTACACATAGCTGCACCTTTTCTTTTATCTTTACCATTCAAAACATTCCCTTTTTGCTAATTAAAGGATAATTGTAGTTTTACACTCTTCACAACAATAGCTAATAAAAACCCTTCAGATGCAAACACGGTTTTCTGCTACCCCAGCTGGACAGTATCTTCCTAACCATGACCAGATTGTGAATTCAGCATGCTGTTCACTGCAATATGAACCTGGGCCTTTTTTTATAATCTGTCTTATTTATAGCTTTTTATAGTTTTATCTGACATTTTAATAGATGTCATGCATCAAAGATGTCATACTGAGAACTTTTAAAATGTTAAACATTTGCCTAAAGCTCCTCCTAATCAATTAGAACAGGCCTCAAAATTTCCACTCGCCTGCTCACATATGGCAAGTGTAAATAATGTGGAGGCGAGTGTGTGTCCCACAGGGCCGTCTTTACATTGGCGCTGGGAGCTGTCAAACTGCTGAAATCGCCGAGCAAAGTGAAAGCAAAGGGAAGGGGAGTGTCTGCTGTGCTCTCTGCCTCCCTCTAGAGTGCGGTGCCCGGCTTTGTGATGGGAGGTAATGTACTGCAACTTTATATGGCTGTACACGTGTATGTGTACATGTGTCTGTATGCGTGTGTAATCATATGGGTGGTTTGGACAGGTTCAGGATTGTGGTTTAATATGGGTGGTAGAGTATGTGGTATTTAAGGTGCTGCTGGGTTGGATAGAAGGTAGGATATGCTTGGTAGAGTTATGGTTTGGTGAGTGAGAGATTATGGGGGGTTATGGTTGTATGTGGTGCATGGTCCAAGTATGATGGAGTGTTTAGGGGGACTATGGGGACCCTGATGTAATGTGGGGGAGCTCAAGAGACACTAATGTACTGTGGGAGGACTCTGGGGACCCTTATGTAATGTAGGGGGACTCAGGGGACCCTGATGTAATGTAGGAGACTCCAAGGACCCTGATGTAATGTGGGGGGATTCCAAGGACCCTGATGTAATGCGGGGGGAACTCTGGGGACCCTAATGTAACAGGGGGGACATTTAACAGTGTCATTTCATGAGATAATTTTGGAGGCCATGATTAGGGGCAGGGTTGGGGTTGGGTGGGGCAACTGGTGGCTAGTAACTCTTAAGGCCTGGCTAGTTGCTCAGGACTTCACATTTTGAGCCCTGAATTACAAGTCACTGCATGCCGTCCTGGGTGTATCTCCCCGGTTACACTGCAGTAAGGTAACATCAGTGGATAAGTAAAAAGTAGTAGAGGCACTCAAGGGTCTTAAAGTAGAACTAAAGTTGAAAAATAAACAATTGTGAACAGGAGGCTCTTTAAAAAGCAGGCACTTTATTACATGCAATATCTCTTCTGCATTCAAATACACTTATCTGCTTGTTTGCAAACCCCTGTAGACTGTACAGTCATGCGCAGCTCAGTTTACATTCTGGCACCCGGGCTGTGTGTTTGGATGACTGCATTCCTGCTCATGCACTGGAGTGAAGCCATGCATGTAAGTTAATTACATAATTAGTTTGGCTGAAAAAAGACTAAAGTCCATCCAGTTCAACTATAAAAAAAAAAAAATAAACTATACCCACAGTTGATCCAGAGGAAGGCAAAAAATCCCAGCAAAGCAATATACAACTTGCTCCTTCTTGATCCCCCGAGAGGCAATCGGATATTCCCTGGATCAACTTTACCTATAAATGTTAGTATCCAGTTACAGTTGTGTTCAAAAGTTTGCATACCCTGGCAGAAATTGTGAAATTTTGGCATTGATATTGAAAATGACTGATCATGCCAAAAAATGCTCTTTTTTTTGGATGATGATCATATGAAGCCATTTATTATCAAATAGTTGTTTGGCTCCTTTTTAAAATCATAATGATAACAGAAATCACCCAAATGGCAATGATCAAAAGTTTACATACCCTGGAATGTTTGGCCTTGGGTACAGACACACAGACACAAGAGGTGACACACACGGGTTAAAATGCCAATTAGAGGTTAATGTCCCACATCTGTGGCTTTTTAAATTGCAATTAGTGTCAGTGTATAAACATTCAGTTTGTTAGCTCTTATGTGGAAGCACTGACTAGGTTAGATACTGAGCCTTGGGGATCAGAAAAGAACTGTCAAAAGTCCTGCGTAACAAGGTAATCGAACTTTATAAAGATAGAAAAGGACATAAAAAGATGTCTAAAGCCTTGAATATGCCAATCAGTACTGTTAAATAACTTAATAAGAAGTGGAAAGTTCGGGGATCTCTTGATACCAAGCCAAGGTCAAGTAGACCAAGAAAGATTTCAGCCATAACTGACAGAAGAATTGTCCGGGACTCAAAGAAAAACCCGCAGGCAACCTCAAAAGATATACAGGCTGCTCTGGAAAAAGATGGTGTGGTTGTTTTTAAGGAGTACAATACGGTTATACTTGAACAAAAATGAGCTGTTTGGTCGAGGTGCCAGAAAGAAGCTTTTACTGCACCAATGCCACAAAAGAGCCCGTTTACAATATGCCTGACAACACCTTGACATGTCTAACCGGGCCTTTTTGTGTCATTGATGCAGTAAAGGCTTCTTTCTGGCACCTCAACCATGCAGCTAATTTTTGTTCAAGTGTCATCATATTGTGCTCCTTCAAAACAACCACATTGTCTTTTTCCAGAGCAGTCTATTTCTTTTGAGGTTGCCTATGGGTTTTTATTTGAATCCCAAACAATTCTTCTGTCAGTTATGGCTGCAATCTTTCTTGGTCTACCTGACCTTGGTTTTTTATCAAGAGATCCTTGAACTTTCCACTTCTTAACAAGTGATTTAACAGTACTGATTGGCATATTCAAGGCTTTGGACATCTTTTTATGTCCTTTTCCATCTTTTTAAAGTTCCATTACCTTTTTCCGCAGGACTTTTAACAGTTCTTTTCTGATCCCCATGGCTCAGTATCTAGCCTAGTCAGTGCTTCCACGTAAGAGCTAACAAACTCATTTGACTATTTATACACTGACACTAATAGCAATTTAAAAAGCCACAGATGTGGGACATTAACCTCTAATTGGCATTTTAACACGTGTGTGTGTCTGTACCAAGGCCAAACATTCCAGGGGATGTAAACCTTTGATCATGGCCATTTGGGTGATTTCTGTTATGATTTAAAAAGGAGCCAAACAACTATTTGATAAGAAATTGCTTCATATGATCATCATCCTTCAATAAAAGAGCATTTTTTGGCATGATCAGTCATATTTTCAATATCAATACCAAAATTTCATAATTTCTGCCAGGGTATGTAAACTTTTGAGCACAACTGTATATTCTGTGTGTCTAACAATCCAGGCCTTTTTTAAAGCAATCTACTGAGATGGCCAGAACCAACTCTTGAGGGAGTCTATTCCACATATTCACAGCTCTCACTGTGAAGAAACCTTTCCGTATTTGGAGATTACATTTCTTTTCCTCCAGACGTTAAAAGTGCCCCCTTGTCCTCTGTGATGACCTCAGGGTGAATAGCTCTACACCGAGTTCACTATATGAACCACTGATGTATTTATATATGTTGATCAGATCCCCCCTTAATCTCCTCTTCTCAAGAGAGAATAAATTCAGTTCCTCTAATCTTTCCTCATAGCTGATCTCCTCCATGCCTCGTATCAGTTTGGTTGCCCTTCTCTGTACTTTCTCCAGTTCCCCAATGTTCTTTTTGTGATTTGATGCCCAAAACTGAACTGCATATTCCAGATGAGGTTTTTCTAATGATTTGTACAGGGGTAAAATTAGTGGTGCACCAAAATAAAAATTCTGGTGCCGAAACCAAAAATTCAGGATGCACTTGCCCTAAAACCAAAACCAACATGGACAGTTTTAAAAAAAATATATTTAATGCTAATGACAGACTGCAACACATATATAATTTTTGATGTTGCTCATAGCTTTACTTTAAAGGGGGCCCCTATTTTTGGTAAAAACCAACAAAGCTAAAAAGTCTTATGATCCATGCAGACCTCCTTCATGAGAAAAAAAAAACAGCTATGCTTCTGCTATTGACTTTTTACTGAAAAGTCAACTGGTAATAGGGAATGGTGACACATCTGTGGTACTAATGTAACTGGTCAGAATAAAACCTTTTTTCATTATTTTGTCTTGTTACTGTAAAATCCTTTAAGAGATGATGTGCTTTAATTTGTAGGCTTTGTTTGGTGTAGCTAGAAATACCGGTTTGCTAGATGTCCTGTTTAAGTCTCTGTTTCTGGAGATCACAGAGTAGGATGTGACACATGTTGGTAGAGAAAAGCCCACTTATTTTCTCATGAGACTTTGTCACTAGTGCCTGCAGGTTATAGATCCAGAGGGAGACCATTTCCGAGGGCTTCTGAAGTCACTGAGGATATCTTACCATTCACAGTCTTTTCTATTGATCTTCAGGTCCTTTTCTGCTTCTTGATTGGAAGGTTTCTGCAACATTGTCCAGCATCCAACACATGGGAATGATAAAAGAACAGACTGAACAGGTTTTCTGACTAGCTTATACAGTGAAGGAAATGCTGATTTTTGAATGTTTGCCCACTCACAAAGAAATGATCAGTCTAATAATCGAATGGTAGGTGTATTGTAACACTGAGAAAGAAATGCATGTCTAACAAACTATGCACTGATTTGCATGTTCATGAGGGAAATAAGTATTTGATCCCCTATCATTCAGCAGGATTTCTGGCTACCAGGTATCTTACAGGTAACAAGCTGAGATTAGAAGCAGTCTCTTAAAGGCAGTGCTGCCTTTAAGGGAGATCTTGTCGAGGATCTCCAGCCAGCTGGGACCAGTCACCAAGAAAACAATTGGTAACACACCACGCCGGCAAGGATTGAAATCCTGCAGTGTCCGCAAGGTCCCTCTGCTCAAGAAAGCACATGTCCAGGCCCATCTGAAGTTTGCCACTGAACATCTGAATGATGCAGAGGACGACTGGTTGAAAGTGTTGTGGTCAGATGAGAC